TTGTCACTTATAACTTCTAAAAATGAAAATAAGTCAACAAATAACTAAAAGTAGTACATATAAAACTATTTGAATATTTAAAATTACATCAATACATATATTTGATTATGAGCTTAGGATAACGATAAAATTTTATATATTTAATTTCAAAAATTGAGAATATGTAAAATGAATATACATATAAGAACAAATGAATAAAAATATAAAAGACATTAAGAGAATAAATAATATTGGTGTCAAACGATTGTTAAGAGGTTGTTGTTCAAAGAGAAATATATATATTATTTCACTAAAAGGATATTGAAACATTTCACTAAAGATGAGATAATAAGATGAAACTTATTTTTATCAAGGTTTCCTACTTGTTTAGGAAGGTGTTTAGAAAGGTCTTCCTAAACAAGTGAAAATCCTTCCTAAACTTAGTCGTACGAAGGTTTCCTACTTGTTTAGTAAGACCATCCTAAACAAGTGAAAATCCTTCATAAACTTATTTTTTTAGGAAGGTTTCCTACTTGTTTAGGAATGTGTTTAGGAAAGCCTTCCTAAACAAGTGAAAATTCTTCCTAAACTTATTTCTAGGAAGGTTTCCTACTTGTTTAGGAAAGTGTTTATGAAGGTCTTCCTAAACAAGTGAAGATCTTTCATAAACTTTTTTTTATAGAAAGTTTCTTACTTGTTTAGGAATGTGTTTAGGAAGGTCATCCTAAACAGGTGAAGATCATTTCTAAACTTATTTATAGGAAAGTTTCCTACTTGTTTAGAAATGTGTTTATGAATGTCTTCCTAAACAAGTGTAAATCTTTTCTAAATAAGTATTTTATTAGTTATGGGCCTAAGAGCATGTTTATTGATAAACCCCATTGGGTATCATTAATATAAATTTATGATTAATTTTATTAATAGTTTAATCTTTGATATTCAATTAGATTTTTATGATTTTGGTATGTTTATTGGTGATACTCAATGGGGTTCAAAAGAAAAAAAAAATTAAGTTATGAATCAAATGTAACATGAATCAAAGTTAAACGGTTTCAAAGCAACAAAAATTAATGAATCGGTGAGGAATTTATATCATGACTGCTCCAACGGATGAAGAGCTTAACTGCGTTGGTGGCTAAATCTCTGCATCGAAAGAGAAGCAGAAGAGATCACGACGCAGTAGAGAGAGAAGCGAGAACCCCCGGCGAAGAGAACGCTGATGAACACGGCTACAGAGAGATTTGGAGATTCTCCTTCTCAATCGCCAAATCGCATCTCTTCGTCGACAGAGAGAAGAGACGATGCAAGAGAAGGCTCACGTCGACGAAAACGACTGGCGACGAAGAGAAAAGATTTTCCTTCTCAATCGCCATCGCCTCTCTTCGTCGACCCTGAGATGAAAACACAAGCAAATGATTTTTTTTTTCATTATGTGAAACCCTACAAAGACGGTCCAATAGGAGCAGGACACGTGTTACGGTAAACATGCTCTAAGAGCATCATTATGGCATATAAAGGGTGCTTATAAATTGGAAACAGAACCCTTCCTTTCGAAATGCACAAACTTTTTATTCGACATATTTGTTTGCATGTAAATTGTTTAAAAAAATTGGGAGATTTTGATGTGAGATCAAGGTTAGAGTTGAGCATAGGGTCTCAAAACAGAGATTTTAGATGTACAAGATGATTTCAAAAACTTATGTTTCAGAGGAAGAACACCTCAAGAGCATCCAACGTGATTGTTATCTTCTTTGCTTCAATCACTTCCGGTAACGATAAACAAAGTTTTCATATCGAATACTCGTCATACGTATTAAAGTCTTTCCCTCATTTCACTTGCATTTGCAGAGACTCAACCTCCACTGGATTTTATGATGGGTTTGATCCACACAATCAATACTTGTCAAGACTGATCTTACCTCCTTTGCTATCGACCCTTCTTTTGTACTTGAGGCTTCCGAGGTTTACCCCGAGCTCAAGTATTTCTAAAATAAAAATTGTCCTTTTTATGTGGGCATGTAGCTATTTTCAGTCTAAGATTGATTCCTTTTTAGACAATTTTATTTCAAACGAAGGCTTGCCTCTAGTGGTGCGGAACAACAAGTACTTTCAAGGGTTGATCTTAGGAATCCAACCCGAGATCACATACTTTTCCTCGGTCTTTGTTTTCTTAAAAGAGTCGAGAGAGAACAGAGCTTTCATGTAGTCACGAACATGGGGCAAGCTCCTAGGGACAGACCAGCTTTTGAAATGGCCAAGCGCGACTTCGAGATGGTAAAGCTTTGGTGCTAAGCTGAGATCCACCGCGGTGACTCTTTTCCCGGCGATAAAAGGACCATGGTGAGTCTTGAGATGATTCTCCAAAGCTACTAGCTCATGAAGCAACGCCTTTTCGGATCCGTCGTTGGAGTCTTTGCTCTTCAAGAAAGTCGAAAAAGTACTGAAAATGTTTGATCCAACAGAGGCAAACTGAGGAGGAGTCTTGAGAGATGGCTCAGGATACTTCTCCTCGAGAATACCGACGATGACGTCGGAATCAGACACCCACTTGTCGTCGATCTTAGCCACTGGTACTTTCCCTTGAGGACTTATGTCTAAGAACCTGCATTATATAAACCAAAGATAATTTAGTTTCCGGTTACAACAAAGTTCCGTAGAGTACCATTACTAATCCAGAAGACTATACCATGAAAAAAAACACAACCAATTTTGGCTAAGAGTTAAGAGTCTTAAGACAATCAAATAACGAACGAACTTAGACAGATTCACGAAACTGACCACTTGGGTTTGTGGGAGAGGTTAATGAGATGAAGTTTGTAAGGAACACTCTTCTCCTCGAGGGTAAGAAGAACTCGTTGGCTAAACGGGCCTGAAACGACAAAAACACTAAAAGATCAGGAACCTTTACGAACGTTTCAAAGAGACATCAAAGTGAGAAAAGAACCCTAAAATTTGCGAAATCAAACAAAAGCGTAATGCAAAAATATAAAAACAGAGATGTGTATGAATAACAGAGAGAGACAGAGGAAAAGATTACAGTCGCCGAGAACATGAGGAGCACCAACAGCTGCTTTAACGCATACTTCGAGAGGCTTGTTCTGATAGTGTTTGTTATTTCTCACGGCAGAGTCATCGGCCAAAACCGCCGTCGAGATCATCGAGACAAGTAGCATCACCGAAAACAACAACACATCCACTGATATTTTCGCCATCCTATCTTCGATTCTTCTTTTTTTGTTGTTGTTGTAGTATACATTATGTATAATACATATATAAGTTAAAACGCT